ATTGTTGAGTTTACCTTTCGTGGGAGAATCACAATCCGGAAAAAGCTTAGAATAGCATCCACTGATCCTTATCTATCACTTACCAATCTGTCCTATAAAAGTCAACTGGAAGCCCATCGGGCCTAGAAGCTTTATCCAATGCCATGAAAAGAAAACTACCCTTATTTCATCATGAGTAACCGCAGACTCCAGCTCTCTAGCATCTTTTGATGTTAACTTGCTCTTAATCAAACCCTCTAAGAAACTCACCGGATTCTCCTCGACCTCAGAATTTAGCTAACCAATCAACTCCTTATAGAAGTTAACCGCCAGATTGCTCATCAAATTTACATAAGTAACAAGTGTCCCATCATCAGATACCTAAACTTTTAAGTTTTACAAATAGGTTCAATTTTTGTATGTGTAGTTAAAACAACATAAAGTAAATGGGCATTAATACCCAACCCAAACCCATATGCAAAACTCCAAACCATATATACTTGTGTTAAATTTAACAACTTCACGTGACATGTATAGTGATTTGAAATATCTATCTTAAGATAGAAAATAGTAAATATCAATCTCCAAACTAAAATCACAAGTGTTCAATCGATCACTGAGTTATTGCAATTGACGGCTGAGTCTAGACACATCCAACTCAACATAAGATTTTGAAATCTACATCATATGAGATAGTAGCTTCACCATAACACATAAGCAATCGAAAATAAACCAAACATATAAATCAAACGATAGAAGAAGATAAATAAACATTCATATATATACCAAGAACCAAAGTTTACAAGATCAAAATAACCTATACGACTCGTCAACCTATACAACTAAAGAAAAAGTCGCTTTGGGGTCATGATTCTTGGGGAACATCAATCGAAACAAGATTCCCATACCGACTTGCCAATCGACTGTCATTATAGGAAATCAGCGCCTGGGGGCTGGGGCACCAATTCCTCTGCCGATCTGCCCCTCTGAGTTTGGTCGTATTTTGATTTTGGTGACATACTATGTCGATCATATTTAACCCCACGTCAAGCTTGTCCTTAAATGCCTATTCATAGGTCTTTCTATTAGATTTTATGGGAGAGAAAATAGGCTTGAAACACGTATGTCGAGTCATAAGGATTTCTTCCAGATTGGTTACCAAGTTTAGCATATTCCTCACGAATCTGGACAATATTGGAGCCTTCAGAAAATGGCACCCGACCGTTCTTGAATATGTGCGACTTAATGTCACGCCAATTTTCGGACTTTTATCGATTTTTTATTTATGATTTTCAGTAGCTAGGCCTGACGCCCCTCATTTATACAAGATGATCCACTAGGATACTTTGAAATGCAAGCACATGAAACACTACTCAAAGTGCATCAAAATAATAAAAGCAATCCTAAAGAGTTACTAAACACACATTTGCATGATTACCAAGCATACCCAAGTGAATATAGCATAAAAAAATATGATAATGATGTAGTTCTAGCAATATATTATTAGGAGTATAAAATTGTAGTTTCTATATGTCATCATAGAGATCGAAGATATCTGCAAGGAGACAAGGCTGGAAGCTGAAACAACAGAGGTAAAGAGTTGGATTTTCTTGGGTCGAGAAAGCAATTGGGCCGCACATATAATCACCCATACGAGATGCAATTGGGAAGAAGAAGTCGGGCAACAGGCTACCTATCTTTTTAGTTGACCAACTACAAATGGATTGTATTATTTAAGGATGACAATTCCGACATGATCTGTTTTACCCGACCTGTTTGACCTTCCATGGAAAGCTACCACCTCTTCTCTTGACTTTCCTTCGCTATTGGGGGGGGGGGTGTCGAACCCATTCCGTAGGCGGGGTGGGGCAGGCATGAGTACTCTCATCGATCCGACCTGCTCTGACCCCCCTTAATCGACTCATTCTTGCCTAAATTACATGTAATCTTAGTCAAATTACTTAGTATTTTCTTTTTATTTCATCATTATTTACAATAATAAATTATAAATTAGCGGAAACTTCAATTTCTTCAATAATTTAACTACATTTATCATAATATGGTTTGTTTTCTTGGACTTATAATGAAATTAACGAATATTTCTAATATTTTTCATATAAACTGCATACCCATTGGGTCAACCTGCCCCTACACGCGATCCATGATAAATTACCCGACTTGCCATGGGGCGGGTATGGGTATCATGATACTCACGCGGGACCTGCCCCATTGCCATTCCTAGTATTATTTCAAATAATCCTTAATGATATGATACATGATTTTTTTTAAAACAAAAATAAGCAAAAGAAAATGTTCATATTGAATGTGGTTAGTGTTAGCACCATACTAATAAATTAGGTGTTAGCACCCCTATCCCAATGAAAAATGTTATGTCCTAAATAATTTTTATTTGAAAAAAATACAAGTATTAATCAACCTATCTTGAGTCATGGCCAAAATAAAATACTCAACATGAACCTGACCATCTACACTTGCCCTTAGGGATGGCAATGGGGCGGGTTTGTCTAAACCATCCCCATCCCCATCTTCAAATAACCAAACCCATACCCGCCCCATACCCATGCGGGGAAATGTTTTGCAAACCCATCCCCATACCCATGGGTTTCGGGTATCCATGGGTAATACCCGTACCCATACATCCAACATTATTATACCTAAAATTTACAAGAAAATTTTTATTATTACTCTAAACGAACCTATTATATCATGAAGTCAACAAAACACGATCATTTTCTTAATACGGTTCAAAGTATATGATCCTAAAACATCCATTAATACATAATATAGAGTATAATATTTTACAAATTATTATCTTCTAACTCTTATACATCTACTAAGTAATAATTAACTAACATAATCTTGTAGACAAGGGGAAAAGTGAAAGAGTGAAAGGAGAATTGAGGGAAATGAATTAGATTTTGATTAAAATGGTCACTCAATTGCATTTCTACTATTTATTTCCTTGAGTTATCCTTATCACCATTGATACATTACAATTTAATCCACGTATTTTTTTATATGTGAAGAAATTCTCTTGGTGGGGCGGGTACGGGTATGGGTATGGGGCGGGGGAGGTCAAAACCATACCCGCCCCATACCCATCAAACTTTTTGCGGGTTTTACCCATACCCGCCCCACATCCGGTCAAAGCGGGGATTCCCCGCGTTGACTGGGTCGGGGGCGGTCGGATACCCGCGGCCATGGGTTTTATTGCCATCCCTACTTGCCCTAGAGATGGCAATAAGGACCCACAATTTGGGTATTCCTCAAATCCAATTCAGTATAGGTCATATAAAGTTTGGATAATATCACTATTGGACCATATCCATAGCCAACCATTTATTTTGGTCCAAAATTAGACTCATTACATTGACCACCCAAAACGTAACGAAGAACCAACTCTAATATAATTTTTGGATTTTTCTTTATTCTAAAACAAACATAAATGTGAAAATGTGAAAAAACTAATATTGAATGTGTGAATTAGTTTAAGGAGAATAGTTAGATGATTGATATTGCTTTTGTAGTAAGTATAATTATATAGACCCAAGTAGATCCATTCGGATACAATCCCAATGGGTTGACCTGAATCGCACCCAATCCAAACCCAAACCCAAAATGATGAAGAGTACATATGAGTTCATTTGGGTCCAACTCAATACCCATATCAGTCATGACAATTGGTTCCAATTATCCAATGGGTCGACCCATTGCCATCCACCCATTGGCGTTCCTAGAATTAATGTGTAACGATGTGTAATTAATTCAAGGTTGTCAACCCGATTTAGGCCGTTGGCCCAGTAGAGCAAGTGATTGAGGGTTAACGGTACGATCACTTTAGCTAGGTTTAGCCGAATATATGAAAAAGCCATTATATTATTCATACATGTATAAATTATATTAAATCACATATAATATTTGAGTAGTAGCATATAACGTTACACGAAAATAACAATTAGTTCTTGGATTCAACATTTAATGAAAATTTAAACACACTCATATAACATCAATATTCAAATGTTCAACTTAGAATTCCAAATATAGTGTAAGATGAAGGGAAAACCAGAAAAGAGGCGTATTTTACAAACCAAAGAAAAAAATTGCACATGTGACCTCTAATCCGAGAACCTTACTAGTTACTACAATTCGATTGCAAATGTGTGACACCTATTTTTTTCACCGGACTAGTGTCAAAACGGGTCGAATCGAACTGACAAGCTTAGAGCACATTACTAGGCATAATGAATCCAATTTCGAAATTTCTGAGGGCTAGTCCCATTAAAATAAAAACAAACGAAAGTCGGAATAACTCGGATAACTTTACTACTGCAGCACATTCATTGACATAGCCAAAAAAAATAGAAGAGAAGAAACCGATTCTGGCTCCCGTTCTTCATTCTTCCGCAGATTTCCTCAATTCTCTTGGCGTTCAAGGAATCCATCTTTCTGTCTCAGGTAACGACTATTTCCCTACCCTCAACTTCGTGGTTCTGCTAAGGATTCTTGCTGTGTTCTTTTTCTGTTTCGCTGGGTTGTATGGGTACTGAGAGAATGTAGCCATAGGGAAAGGAAAAACGGGTCAAGAGAAGGACGAAGGATAAAGATTTCTGTGGTGCTAGTAGTAGTAGTGAATCTTATACAATTTCGGGCAATGATAAGCTTTGAAGCTTCATCCAAGTAATTTGGCTTAAATTAAATCTATCTGAGAGCAAAACTCAGGATGTTTCTGGCGTTAGATTCGAAGTTTGGTCTCGTAGTTTTTGGTTTTCTCTTGTTTCGACTCTGACTTTTCTGTACTTAGGAGGTTTTGGGTTCTCCTTATTGAAGATTGGCAATTTGTGTTCTTTTCTTGAGTCGACGGCTATTGTATACTGTTGAGTTTTCTTGATTTTCTTACCGTGAAACCCTAAATTGGGTGTTGAGAGCTTGAGTTCAAGGTCTGGCTTCTTATAAATGCACTGATTTTCTTTCTCTTTCGGTTTTCTATGGTGTTGAAAGGGATGGTTAGGGAAGGGGGAATGAGCAATGGGTCGGATATGGATGGTAGAGGGAAATGCTTGATGAGTGAAGTGGTTAATGGGTTCGGGAGCAATAATGGTGAGGGCCTTCGCACTTATAAGAGGAAGAAGCTTACAGCATCTAGTTCAGAGAGCAAAGATCAAGGGGATGTCAGTGTTTCTGGTGAAGCTGTTGGTAAATTGGCAGATCAGGAGGTATGGCTGTGATTTCTGGTCTTTTCTCCTTGTATGTGCTCATTACTCAACTCATGATAGATTGGTTACTGTTTAGTACTTTCTTCTTCATCAGGATCTTCAAGGTAGTGTTGGATAACTTTGGTGTTGGGTTAAGGGCAGCCAAGAATATGTATCATGCATCTGTGACCTGCCATGATAAATTTTCTGCTATAAGTGGGATGTTGCAGAAAAGGCATCCAGTTTTAGAATAGAGACGATAGTGATATACTTGCTATGATATTATGCATTCTTAAAGAGTTTATTGAAGCTGCTTGCAACTTAAATGATGTAGTCACTTGAAAGAATGAACTAAAAAGGCTTAGATTGAACTCATCTGTGGGAGTACAGCAATGAAGTTGGTGTAAATGATGCTTTCCTTTACATGGGGTTTTGTGCTAGTGTACAGTTCTCCTTGCTAGTAGGATATCAAATTATCAATGACTTTATATGATGTAAAAGTGGCTGTAGCTTCAGTTGGCTATGCTTCTATGCCTAATGGCGGCAGGTTCAGTTGGCTACGTTTTTATGTATAATATAATTATCCATGACAACGAACTAGAAATTCAAGAAATGCGAAAAACTAGAAGAGTTTTCTGGACTTACTGGTTTCTCACTTTTTGTGCCTGTCATTTGGATGCAAGATTGTTTGTTTGCATTTGTTTGTGGTACTCACTTCTTTCCTGTTTTGCATAATCAACCATTCTGTTCTTTGAATAGCTAAAACTGAATGCTTGTAGATCATGAAGGAACCCCAGGACCATCATGCTGGTGGTCAAGCTGATTTAGCTAGTTCAAGCGATGTTTCACGAGGGAAGTGGAGAAACTATATCCTAGAGCAAATGTATCGGTCGTTAAGTGATGACGAAGGTGGCATACACGGGTGCATCCAAGATGTACTTAGGACTTTGAAGGTCTGCACCAAAATCACAAAAGGCAGTGGCTTGTAATATCAGCTATTGATTTTCCCTTTACATTCTGAATCTGGTTTACTGTCTGTTTTCTCAGGTGTCTGATGCTTGTGATAGAGATAGGTGTAAATCCTCGAAGAAAGTATGGTTGTCTTATGGAACTCCCAATTTGGCCAAAAAATATCATGGCGGCAAATCCAACGAGGCTTCTTATGAACCAAATCACCGTACTGTAACGGATATGTGTCGGCTTGCATTCCATGGGATTATATCATCTGAAAAATTCACCTCCCTATGCAAATTGCTGTTTGAAAATTTTCATGAAAGTAGGGCTGATAACCTTTTCAGCCTAAGCCTTATAAACCGAAGGATGAAAGATGGAGCTTACGAGGATTCCCCCTGGCTTTTCTCTGAAGATATCCAACAGGTGTGTAAGATAACTCCGATGAAGTTAATTCCTCTGTTGTCCAAGTAGCTAATTAATTTACTTGATCGGAGATGTATGACTTTGCAACCGGATTCATTGCTCTAATATCTGCATTGAAAATGCTCACTGACAGATATTACTAGTTTAACCCTGTACTGAGACGTTAATCTATGTTTGTTGATATGTAACCTCTCTCCTCTCTCTGTGTGTGTTTTGGTTCCACATCAAGGATTGTGCCTTACTGGACACACTAGTTCTAGTCAACAATTCATATTCATAGACTGATATATATTTGCCAATTGAAGGAAATCCTTTGTGTACTCTGATCAGTCTCTTCCCTTGATGACGAAAACCTGGATCTAGGGTGTTCATAATCTGGTCACGTGATTAGGAGTTGGATTGGATCATGGGAATTTAGGGATGAAGAGCTAGATATTCAGGGATTTAAAGGGAGAATTAGGGATTGAGGATAGAAAGAACATGAATTAGGGGTTCGGGATTGAAGAGAAGAATCGGGGAGAGGTCTGGCAGCCTTGATAGGGAGAAGGGAGGCAGGAGAGATTGGGGGATTTGAGTTAGTTTTCTTAGTACTTCTTTGATTGCCCCTGCCCTGAATGAAAATCCAAATTACATACTTATAGAGAAGGAGTGGAAAAACTTAATAATTGACCTAATACGACTCAAATACTACTAACCTTATACTAATCCTAATAATAAACATAAACATAATAATAATAATAATAATAATAATAATAATAATAATAATAATAATAATCAAGAATTGAAATACCGTACCGGAGGATGTACAGGAAAAGTTAGGGGTAGGGTATTTTATGCTAAAAAAACCGTGGTTTAATCGTGGTCCAACCATTTCATGCCGCTAAATACAGTCTACCGGTTTTGCTTCCGGTAGGAAGTTTTTTGGTCGAACCGCCGGTACGGTACGGTTTTTCAATCCTTGATAATAATTAATGAAAAACCCGGTTCCCTCAAAAGACCAATTTTTCATCCAACATTGACTAATTTGTCATTTTCTGGATACATTTAGCTCAGGAACTCCTTTGCTCTCTAATTGAAGCTGATCTTAGCTTCTCTATCAATTTACCAATGCTATTTTCTTGAGCTTCACTATCTAGTTAAGCAGTCTTCCTTTTACCTCCTTTACAGGGAACGTTGAGGGAACTTTCTTGCTGCATGCATAATTTAATGTCATTTTCAGGCTACACAATCATTCGGTTATCATACTCAGATTGGTGTGGTTATTAATCTCTATGAAATTTCAGTTTTGGAAAAAACTTGAAGGGATTGGAACTGAACTGATTTTCCTTGCAAAGAGCCTCTCGGATGTATCGAAGACTTGTTTTAAGGATCAAGTAAGCAACCATCTCTCATGAACTTCAGAACATCCATGCATTCTTTTCTTGCCATGATTCCAAATGTTAATCCTAAGCTTTATTTCTGACCTGATAGGTGGTTAGTTCAGTGGACTGCATGTCTTGCTTCCGAATTTGCACAGTAATTTTCATTCTTTATTCTTATGATATAGTTGGTTCTGATGCTATCCCATTTCCCCCCTCTTTCTACCCGTAAAAGCAGTTACCCACACGAGAATCTGATTCCTCTGGTAAAGCAGATGAAACAGCAACAACCACTTACTGCACATGCAGGCACTGTGGGAGCAAAGCAGATGAATTGGATTGTTTAGTATGTGATTCATGCGAGGATATGTACCATATCTCTTGCATTGAACCTGCTGTTGAAAAGATTCCTCCCAAGAGTTGGTACTGTTCCAGCTGCTTAGCTATTGGAATGGGCTCTCATGAGAACTGCGTTGTCTGTGAGAAGCTAAGTGCTCCCATCAGTGCTCTAGATAGTCAACCTACCATGCCTGCTGTCTATCAAACAAATGAGGAAGCATTCTCTGACTTTGACCAGGCATCAGAAGAGAGTAAAGATGATCCACATCAGCTTTCAGAAGGTACTGAACCTTTAAACCCTTGCAAGATTTGCGGGAGTGAGGTGGAGAGTGGTGGAAAGGTGAAGATATGTGAACATCCCTTTTGCCCTAACAAGTATTATCACGTGAGGTGTTTGACGGCTAAGCAGCTGAACTCGTATGGTCCACGTTGGTACTGCCCTTCTTGTTTGTGTCGGAGTTGCTTAACGGATAAAGATGATGATAAGATTGTTCTTTGTGATGCCTGTGATAGTGGTTACCACATCTATTGCATGAGCCCGCCACAAAGTTCTATACCAAAAGGGAGATGGTTTTGTAGGCAGTGTGTAGTGAAGCTTCAGAAAGTGCGCAGGGAAAGGAAGGCCTACGAGAACAGAGAGGGGAAAAGGTGTTTTGACGGGATGCATAGGAAGTCGAAAAGGAAGATTGAAGACATGGTTGATGGTAGGGAAGGTATAAATTTGCTTCTGAATGCTGTTTTTATTGAAGACAAATTGGCAGGCGAGCAGACGAGAGGTTAGAGCATGAATGAGAAAAGAGTGAAAGAAAGGCTCCTTCAGTATCTTTCAGTCTGTAAAGAACTTAGAGGGTTTTCCCCCCCTGACTTTTTGGTACATCGATTAGGGCAAGGCAATGACTCTCGAGACTTAATATAACTGCTGTGGAATTGACAGGTACGTCGAAAATATAATTACCATTACTGAGGCTGAGGATATCATCGTATGAGTTGATGAGATGATTCTGTCGGTGGAAAAAGGGCTGTGTTTGTCCCCCAAGCCTTGTACTTGTTCCAGAATGTTAGTGGGTTAATCGAAATTTTCTTCTTGATGCTGTTGCTTTTGAATAAGATTCACTTGTGAACACTTTCAATTGGCAGTGAAACGCAGCAAGATAGCTATTCATTTGCCATATTATATTATATGCTAATGATGCTCCAGCATTCTAGCCAAGTGAGAACCGCCCAAATGTAGTTCTATGGCAATTTGGAAGAGTTGTAGAACCTCCGCCTTAGTGGTACTAGTTGGTGTACTGCGGGTCTTGCCTCGCGCGCCCAAATGGTATAATATTCCTTATGCGTGGATATGGGCATTGGATGTCGATTATGGTTTCTTTCCCCAACCACTTCCCAACTGATGATGAAAATTGGATAGGCAACAAACACTCATTTCTTTTTGTTCCACAATGTGTATTTCTATCTCTACAATGATGTATAATGCGAGTATATGATACTATGGAATAAAAGCGGTATTGAACTTGCTCTTCTACTTCATTTTCAATGATGTTGCTTCTTTCCGTTTTCGTGATAATTATTTTTAACACGTTATTAGTTTGACTGTTCTATTTACTCGAGATTCTATCGATTTGAACCAACTCCATAAGTGAAAACTTTTACCTTTATCATGAATGTTTTATTTGCTTAATTAAGATGTCGTCGTTCTTAGGTAAATTAGAAAGTGGCAGTTTTTAACGTTACCACGATGATTCTATCAGTTTAAGATCATGTTGATCTACGACTACATAAGAAACGTTTTCATAGAGGAAGCGATGCTAGTCATCACAAGATCAAGAAATCCAATTCATCAATTTTAAGGTAATTATCAATTCATTAATTATATGGACCGCCTATCCTCTAATGACTAATAGGGATGTATTCATTAAAACAATATATTCCTTTATTAATAGATTTCATATACTCGGACTCTAGCTTTAAGATATCAATTTTCTTATTATTTTAATGGGTTAATTGCATGGTTGGTCACTGACATTACAAAAAGCGTTCATGTTTGGTCACTAGAAAAATTTAAATCTAACTTTGGTCACTAACTTTACAAAAACGGTTCATTTATGGTCACTCTCCGTTAGCTGCCGTCCAAAGCCGTTAACGGAGTCCGTTAAGTGATGACGTGGCTGACGGATTCGCCTAATCAGCACCTTTTGACCCCAAATTTGACCGGCCTGACCTGCCACGTCATTTAAACCCTCCATCTCAGCAAAACCTAACCAAACCACTAACCAAATCAGACCACACCCGACCCGACCCAACCCACCAACCCATCTATCTCATTTATGTGGCTTTGTGACCGCAAGAATCCTATCAGCTTCCAAAAACCTACAAACCTTCACATCTCTCTCTCTTTTCTTCTCATCCCCTTCTCCTCTGGTAATGGCGGCACCTTTCTGTCGTTGTGGATTGGCATCAGCTCTCAAGACGAGCTGGACAGAGGCGAATCCAGGGAGGAGGTTCTACGGGTGCAGCAAGTATGGGGTAAGATTTCTGACTTTTCTGCTTTGATTTCTCGACCGCCTCTCCTTCATCCCTCTCTGTTTTTGTGCTTGGATCTGTAGACAGATGGGGCATGTAATTTCTTCAGATGGCATGACCCAGTAGTTGACGAGCATATGAAGTTTGTGGTGCTGAACTTTCATCGTCGGATTCGAGAACTAGAGAAGAGGCAAAATGGGCAAGGGTCCAAAGCTAATGGCTGCCCAGTGTTCATCTTCATTGTGATTGCTCTTGTCTTTTCTTTCATCTGGATGGGATTGGGAATGTAAGAAGCTATTTCCTCAACCTTGCTGATGTAAACCTTTCTGCCGCTGTAGATTGTAACCCTAGAAAAATCAAATTTCACGTATTGTATCTGAAAGTTTATGTTGCACGATTGGTCACTCCAAAACATGTAAAGGTCCACGATTGGTCACTCCAAAACATGTAAAGGTCCACGTGTGGTCACTCCAAAACATGTAAAGGTCCACATGTGGTCACTCAAAAACATGTAAAGGTCCACATGTGGTCACTCAAAAACATGTGAAGATCCACATCTGGTCACTCAAAAATCCTTACCACTGGTTGGCGAAATAGAATGCTCATATATGGCTGCTGCGGTTTCCTTGGTGTAACAATTTGCTACATACTCATACAACTGAGTGTTTCCCACACCAATTGCCTGGATTGCATGCTGACAAGGGATCCCAGTTAACTCCCATCGACGACAAGTGCAAGTCTTCGACTTCAAATTGACCACTACCTGCTTGTCATGCCACTTCACTTCAAACTGACCCCTTCCATTTGAAATAGCTGTCCACTTCACAGCTTCTTCTTCCCACTCCCGCAGCTTCTTCTCAACTTTTTCCGTCAAAGGACCTGGCCACTTGATTATATCTTCTTGTCTACGAGCGATTAGGAGCATCAAGTTCCTCCTAATCCCCTCCCACATGCTAATCGGACCCAAATCCCTTTCCTCCAATATACTGTTGTTCCAACTCTCTACATTATTGCTGCTGAGAATATCACAACTGGTGTAAGTTAGGAAATGAGACCTGGTCCAATGATAGAAGGGCTTCTCTATCAGCCAATCGTAGGCTGACTTATTAAGATCGGACAGCAGCTGCATATTATGTTTGAACTCCGCTACAGTTGTGGACCTAGCTGCTGTCCAAAATAAGTTCTTCAAAGCTTGGCCACCTCCACAAGCACCCTTCAGATTTGTCCACAAGTGTCGTGCACAGTGTCTCTTCTCACAGTTAGGAAACATTTCGTCAAGTGCTGGCAAGAGACCCTGAAGACAACAAACAAACACCAATCATGTCATTACCAAGGAACCAAATAAAAATCAGCAACTAAATAAAAATCAGCAACTAAATAGAGTTTTTACCTTTTGTTTGTCAGACATAAAAGTCCAACCAGGAGAGTCCATTATACTCAAGTCGTCCCTAACATTACCAAGGAACCATTCCCAATTTTCCTTGTTCTCCACTCCAACATGAGCAAATGCAACTGGGTAGTATTGGTCATTGGCATCCACACCAACTGCTGATAGTAGCTGCCCTCCATACTCGTGCTTCAAGAAGCAACCATCCACAATTAACACCTGTCTACATCCATCCTTGAACCCCATTTTGGATGCCGCGAAACACACATACATCCGGTTGAACCATTGTTCTCTCTGCTCAATGATAACCGTAGAGTTGGGATTGCTCCTCCTCAACTCTTCGGCATAATGATACAAGGACCTATACTGTTCCTTCAAACTCCCACGAACCGCCTCAATTGCTGCATGTCGTATCCTCCAAGCCTTAGAGTTCTTCACATCTTCTTTGTAGTCTTCTTTCACAATGTGCTTCAGCAAGGCCCTTTTCATGTTCCTATCACATGCCATCTTCTTACTTAACTTGGAGCCGAGAAACTTTGCAGTTGCGTACTTGACCTTGAAGGTCTTCCTACAATCAGGTGAGTGCTCAACCTTGCACTTCTTGATTTGGACAGAATCTTCGGTGCTCATCTTCGAAGCCCAAATGTACCAATCACATGGAGGATCGCACACTACTTGCAGCCGCTGTCCATCATTCTTTTTAAAGCGTACTGGCCTCTTCTCGACGAAAGCATGCTGTTTTATTGCATCTTTTAAGACTCTAAAACTGCTAAACTTCTGGGAAGCAGCAAAAGTAGGCATCTCCATGTCACGATCAACCCGGAATTCATGAGATTGGTCTCCTTCATCCGAGTCTGAGCTTACAATGCTCCTACGATCATCAGAGTCTGGATAATCAGCCCCTTCACTTTGTAGTTCAGGATAATCATCCATGTCAAAGGTACCCATGTCGGCTTCCACCTCTTGATTGATATTTGCTGCAAATTGTGCATTGTCCCTTGCACTATCTTCCTCTGAATCCTCCAAATAGTCGCTGTCTTCATCCTCATGATAGTCAGAATCACCTAACAGATCATCTCCAGCAACATTTTTTCCCTTTCTTCTCAAACTGGAAGCCTCCATTTCTTCAACTTCACTATCCAATAGATCTTCAAGATCATTAGCCGAGAAAGCATACAGCTCGATGACTCTTCCCTCGCCGTTGGCCGCTATTGACATGCTCAGAATATCTTCATCATTGACAATCTCGGACATTGCATCATTGCAAGGATCTTTCCAGAAGAACCTCGGCTCTTTAATCTTCCCACCACACGCCTCATATATGCCAGGAAGGTCGAGCACTGAAAGTTCATCAATGTCGGCGTAGTCCCAAAACACAGTGGAGGTTTCATTGAGGAAATGCTTGCCGCCAACCTCTTTCACTTCATGGGACACATGAACTGCAAAGGTGAACTCTCCACTTGAAGGAGCTGTTTGGCAAAACAAAAGCAATTGAAAGGAGTTAATTTCAAAGACAGAATATTGAGCAGTTATGGAGCTGTTTGGCAAAACAAAAGCAATTGAAAGGAGTTAATTTCAAAGACAGAATATTGAGCAGTTATGGAGCAGCAGGTAAGTAGGTGGTCCTGTCCCACCATTTTCTATTAAAAGACAGACTAAGTCAAACCCTAAGGCTGCATTTTTCGTCATTCTAACAGAGTCCTGAATTTTTCTATTCCAAATTGATGTCCTCATCTCTAGTAAATGCCAACTGTGGAAAAGGACAACCCATACCAACCATCTACCATCAAAACCAGCCATCTACCATAATGACAAAGGCAAAAACGACAGGAGACTTACCATAGTTAGGGTGAGTTGAATTCGGAGCCCGC